CCCCTTCCCCACAAAGATACATTGTCTCAGGTATCGGGCAAGCCCCCTCCAGCAAAAATTCCTGAATCCACCCCTGCTGAATGTACAGGGTCTTGTACATGTATTTTTGTAGCCAAGATGTCACACCTGACAAATTAGAATCTGGCTTGAAAAATGCCAGACGTTAGAACTACACGTTAGAACGATAATTGTTATACATCTTGTCAGGTTTCTGTCTCTCCCACACACCGAAACTCAAAATAAAAGCGTCAACTGAATAGGTTTTCATATCCCTCTTGATCGAAATCAACTTATGTCATTCTTCAATTAAATTTCTATTCTTATCTTGCTTTAGATCGTTTAATAAACACTTCAAAGGTCTTTGCCAATCCTGTTTACATTACTGTATAAAATATTAACAGATATTAAAGGGTATATAGCTCTATTCTTTAGAACCTTAAAATAGATGAAAATGGTTTGAAAAACACACCATAATGTAATATATATTTTATCAAACAATATCTAAAATAATATTACATACAGGTTTTTTTCAACATAAATGTATTTCATGAAATATGAGTGAGTGTACAAAAATGAATTTACATTCAATTTTTAAAATAGTTATTATAACCAGGGAAATACATGAACAATTAAATTGTCTGGCATTGTTTGTGTCTGTATTGGCCAGTCTACATGTTTTGGGTTTTTATTTAGTTGCCGGCAACTGGATGTAACTGTGAGTATGCGATCAGTAGCCAGTTTATGTTGAAGTATTTGGGCTTGTGCCTGGAAAACCACCAGTTGACATCCAGGTGCTGGTACATGTACATGTAGTTGCCAACGTTCTACTTTTCCGGCAGCTACACAGTAGCTGTACTCAGTTTTTCTAAAATGGTCGACCTACATGTTCATGTACCAGTACACAAAAACAGCAACCAAATGTATCCAGTCACATGGGCTGTCACATGATCAGCATTCACCACTATTGTGTTGATTCGCTACATGTACATGTATGTAAACACTTAATTATGATAAAATGAAAGAAAAACTGTTTTCCTAAAGAGGCCACATATTTTGGCCAACGGATATTTTTGGAAATTTTCAGCTTAATTCTCCTAGAGTTAAAACAGTAAAAGACTGTCAGTTAAAGAGACGAATTAGCTGAAAGAAAAACTATATAAATTTGTTATTACAATATTTTATATTTTGAGATGTCTCTATACAGAATTAATGCACAGTACTTTAACTTCGTGCATAGCCTAAAACTGTAGCTTCGATCAAAACAAAATTTTTTGAAAAAGTGGGCAAAATTCAGCAATCATTCAAAGGATCGCAGTGCACTGAAAATTGATAGCTTTAGACCTCCCAAAAACCCAATGATTCAAACCAAATTTCAAATATGTCTGTTCAAAAATTGTATCATCTAATGATCTATAATCTACATTGTAATAGTATGATCCCAAAGCTTCACAGTAGATCTAAAAAAAATCTAAACAGTAGTGTAGTGTATATATCGTGTTCACAAGGTTTTCATCAAACAATTGGGGCTCAGGAATGGAAAGCTGAATCTCATGACCCATATGCTTCATACAATATTTGAAAACAAAAGAAGCCAACAGTAAGGCTGATGTCCCCCGCCAAAATCAAAAAAAACCAAAACAGATGACACATATTTGTCCCATAGCAGAATTGTTATGTTCCAAAGTCTTGACCAATCAAACTGCTTATTGCTACTTAGCCTAAGCAGAAAATTCTCATCATTAAACTTAGTCAATGTATTGATATAATCTCACCCTATTAGAACCAAAGTTACACGTATCTGTTCCAATGTCTCAATCAAATTGCTCAACTCTGCTTAGCCTTAGTGGCATTCACGTCATAGACACCATTTTGAACATTCTACCTCAATAAGAAGGAGAGTTATTGTTTTCCAAAGTCTCGACCAATCAGATTGAAGTCTCTACTTTGCCTAAGCAGAAAATGCTCAGTATTGCACCTTGTTCAGGTATTGATGTAATAAAACTATACACAAAGTTTCACCACTATCACTCAATTAGAATCAAAGTTGTCGAGCTCCAAAGTCTCTACCAATCAAATTGCTTATCGCTTTGCTTACCCTGAGCCAAAAATCAAGGTATTAATGTAATGAAACTATACACCAAGCTTCATCACTCTCACTTAATTAGGACCAAAGTTATCGTGTCCCATAGAATCAACCAACCAAATTGCTTATCTCAGCTTACCCTAAGCAGAAAATGTTCACCGTTGAACTCCATCAAGGCATTGAAACAATCAACACCTACACCAAGTTTGAACATTCTACCCCAATTCGAAGGAGAGTTATTGTGTTCCAAATTACTTATCGCTCATTATCGAACTTAGTCAAGGTATTGATGTAATAAAACTATATACCAAATTTCATCACTCTCACTTATTAGGGGGTCACGGTGGCTAAGTGGGTAAGACATTGGCTGGCTAGCCTGCAGGTTGGGTGTTTGATCCCTGCATTGGCTGAGAAAGTTCACCCAGATTTCCGGTGTGGTTACCCCTTGTCAGTGATGCAGGACGGAGGGCCTGACAAGGACAGCTGTCTAGTCATTCGGATGAGACAAAAAACCGAGGTCCTGTGTACAATTGGCGTGCATGTAAAAGATCCCTTGACAGTTGGAATTCGATATAAGAGTAGGCTGTAGTGCCGCTGTCCGGGCAAAATTTCCCTCATAGTAAACTGTATGGCGTATGCCCGTCTTCATTAGCCAAGTTCTGAGCAAAACAGTAGGATGTTAAACCCCATTTCATTTCATTTCTCACTTACATGTAATAAGAACTAAAGTTATCGTGTGCCAAAGCATCAACCAATCAAATTGAATATATCTGCTTACCCTAAGCAGATAATGATCATCTTTGAACTCCATCAAGACATTGACAATTACAAGGAAAGTTATTGTGTGCCGGACAGACACACACTTTCTTCGAAAGGCGGGGGACAAATATATGTTAAAAACTGTAGCGTTTACAAGGTTTTTTGGAACAGGGAGGGTAACTCCAGAGCATAAAGTCATGGAATACTGAATCTCCATAGGGTTCATTATCTCATCACTCCCATGCTTCACACCAAACTTGAAACAAATCCAATAAATACTGTAGACTCTATTATGTTCACAGGGTTTTGGGCAAAGGGGCATACCTCTGGAACGAAAAGTTGTAGAATGCTGATTATGGAGAGGTTTTGTCCTCTATGATTCTCACCAAATTTGAAATAAGGGAAGCAACACCACAGAACAGAAGATTATGGAAAAAGTTCATTCTCTTTATGACCCCAATGCTTACCACCAAATTTGGAAAAGATCCATTAAAAACTGTATGTACATGTACATAGCCTCTATTGAGTTCACAAGGTTTTCAGAGAATCGCCATAAGAGCGTGGAATACTCAATATAAACAGAGTTCATCCTCACATGACCACAATGCTTCACACCAAATTTGTAAAGAATCCGAAAAAAACTGTAGCCTCTATCGCGTTCACAAACCAATCATTGATGAACAGATGGGCGGACAGGGAGAGTACACATCTAATACACCATACTGAAATGTAGGCGTATAAAAATCTGACAAGCTTTTGTGTGCGTTCGCGTTTTCGGCAAAGGGGGAAGGGGTAAATTCAGAATGAAAGGTCACGGAATGCTGAATACTGATAGCGCTCATCCTCTCATTACCTCAAAGCTTCACACCAAATCAGTAAAATAATCTGTTTAAAACTTTAGCTTCTATTGAATTCATAGGTCTATTGTTGATGGACAGACTAACCAACAGATATTGTAAAGGGAGAGTGAGAGAGAGAGAGAGAGAGAGAGAGAGCAATGGGGTTTAACGTCCACTCAACACAAACTAGGTCTTTTCGGGACTAACATATGGTTTAATTTTATTTTAATAATTCGCATGCACGTAGGAGTCTTTAGCAGTGGGAGGAAACCGGAGAACCCGGAGAAAACCCACAAGGCTTGACAGGCAACCCTACTCCTTGTCACGTACAACCGGGGATTCAAAACCATGCCAGTTGACTCTATGATACAGCGCACACATGCTAACCATTCGGCCATCGAACACCCCCATATTGTAAAGGAATTAGCAGTGGGAGGAAACCGCAGGACACAGAAAAAACCCATGAGGTTGAGCAGCCAACCCTACATGTACATGTACTCACCACTTTGAATGAAAAACAGATAAAAAAGTTAAAATTTCAAAAGGATTTAAAAACATTATCTAGTACATGTATTATAATGTGTGGATGCAATCAATAGCTTCCATATTATTTATATGTTCATATGTATTGCACATTGCACAGTATAATAAAGGATACAAAAATAGGGTATGGACAGATAATCTGCATGTACTGAACAATAAACATATTTATGTGGTCAAAAAATTTGTAAGTTATATGATAACCTCATATGCCTACATTGTATGTTTTAAAAAAACATATGTTGTAATGCATGTGTGATAAACAAATCTTCACCATTTTTACAAATAATGGAACGTTTTAATTTTTCATATTCGAAACATTTTTATTAAAGTCTGACAATATTGACATTGATGCCAATGTCACAAAAGCACCTTGACTGTCAATGACATGTACATGTAGTAATGTGGAAGGTATTATGACCAAAAAAATACCATAATAATAATTTCTTAAATTTGAGCAAATATTTCTATTAACTTCCACATATATGTAAACAAAAATGACGTTTTTTTTTAATTCAAACCACTGTTTTTATTGTGACATACGGACAGAAAAACTTGATGCCATATAAGCCTGATAAACAATTTATACTCCATATTTTGCATCTAATTATTTGCTGTTCTAATTATCATAACACGTGAACAGATTGTAACACAAAACACAACGGTACGACCATTTATAACCCTATTTTACGTCCGATATCACATAATAACAGATTTATCAAATTTCCGATAAATTTTCAAAGAGCGAAAAAAACGGGATTCGGAATAACAGCACTTACCAATGGTTCCTAATGGAAACGGTTTAGAAATGCCAGAACGGTATCCCTGCGATATATTAACTGTCACTGAGAAAATGAATGCTGTGAGATACAGCAGAGAGGTTAAATCCTTCATGTTTTAACACATGTCCCCAATTCACTCTAAAGTCACTGTCAAAAAATTTAAATTCCTGTTCAAAACGGTAAATTCATGTTCACAGTCCAAATTATGACATTACTCCATTTCCCAATATGGCAGGACCGTATCAATATTCAGTAGTTATCGTGATGTCACGCGTGACGTAGTTATCTCTTCTCGTTGTAAACTTCATTGATTTGATTAACCAGACGGTCGATAACGGTTTATCGATCGACGTAGGCGGGCAACTCGTTTATAAACAATGCATAGATAACAGTGCTTGATAATCGCGAAAACGCGCACATGCTGTCAACGGGGTTCTCGAAATTCTTCCGGATACAGTTATAGATTAATGTATATCATTATGACCATGGATTCCATGGATACGTGTCGGCTATTTCATGCGAAGTGTGTTGGTTTGTGTATATTTCTTTTAATGTGGGGTATTTTACTTGTTTTTTTAATATACGCATGTAGACTATACCATGTGTTGCTATGGTCGCTCACCGAGGATTCGTTTTAATGTACGGTCGCGTTATAAATTGGCGAAATTGAAGAACTGAGTAGGTGTAACATTATTATAAAAATAAATTGTATCTCATTATTAAATCAATTCGTGATCGGATTGTTTTGATATTCAAGAAATTTAAGGCTGACTACGCTAAATCATTGGGGCCCCGTCAAAATGTGCTTACAGGTACATACGATTCCTTTGACCTACGTAGGGGTAGACTTGTAGTAGGCGGGGCGGAGGTCGGTGTTTAAAGCTCAGCTTTCTGATAGCTTGGGATAAAGCTCAATACATCCTCTTATCTGGTGTATTTGTAATATTTGAGAATTTCTATAATTGTTCTTAATTAGTACGGTCCGTTCATATTCCTGAAGCAATGTCCCGAGAAGTATACGGTCCCCTCTTATAAGGTTGTTGAGACGTTAAACCCCATTTCATTTCCTAATATTAGAGGGGGACAGGTGGAGAAGCAACAAAAACTTGTCGCTATCCACACAATGTGTACTTTTAATCAACGAGATTACCACAAAAATAATTTCGCAACTTTCCCACCTGTCTCCTTCTATAGATATAAGATATAAATTTGTCTGTTATGTAACCAGAGTATTGACCACCATGTCAACAATAATTGACAAAGTGTTCGTTATAAACTGCCTAAACAATCAATATCATATTCACTAATACGGGAACAGTGCCATCAACTACTTAACACGTTTTCCTGTAAAGGTACCATCAAGGGTCTGTCACTGCATTGTCGATGATTTATGTTTGTAGCAATGAACCACTGGAATCGAAAAAAGTATTCTCTTCTCTCAACACGTTTTATATGCCATTTTGAAGCTAACAAGCATAACAGGTCATTAACGGACTGTAAGTTGTGAATACATGACGTGAAAAAAACTACCTTTAAGGTTAATGTGAAATTATGCGTTCAGTAAGTTCTATCCTTTCTCACCCCGAAAGTAACCGTAAACTCAGATGTTATTAGTTTTTTGGAGACTGCGAGTTCGCAAATGAAATGAAATGAAATGGGGTTTAGCGTCCTACTGTTTTGCTCCGAACTGGGCTAATGAAGACGGGCACACGCCATACAGTGTGCTATGAGGGAAATTTTGCCCAGACAGCGGTCTACTCTTATATCGAATTCCAACTGTCAAGGGATCTTTTACGTACAAGCCAATGTGTACACGGGATCTAGGTTCTTCGTCCCATCCGAACGACTAGACAACTGTCCTTGTCAGACCCTCCGTCCTGCATCACTGACAAGGGGGAACCACGCCGGAAAATCTGGATGAACTTTCTCGGCCAATGCAGGGATCGAACACCCTCGTGGGTTTTCTCTGCGTCCCCCGGTTTTCTCCCACTGCTACGCGCGAGCGAATTATTGAAATAAAATTGAACCATATATTAGTCCCGAAATGACCTAGCTTGTGTCGAGTGGACGTTACCCCCCCCCCCCCCCCCCCTTCCAACCACCCCACCCCACCTATCTCTCTCTCACTCTCTCTCTCTCTTCTCTCTCTCTCTCTCTTCTTTGTTCTTGGGACGACGCCAGTTCAAGTATAATTGACATGAAACCCGACATGCTTGTTCCCTGAACAATATTGCGCATAGATTGAAGGACTTGATATGCCGTCATAATTCCACAATTTGGCTGGTTCCTGGTTCATAGGACGGTCGGATATGATTTCACGGGGAACGGAGTCAAACCAGATACCGAGTCGAACCGCGACACTAGACTATAGAAATGAATTATTCTATGGATATTGCCGTGACCAATAAATACATATAGCCTCCATTTTTCTTCAATAGAAGATCGATATCAGAAATAAACCAGAAAGCAGTAAAGATAATGATCGACATTAAATCGAACTATTCCACCCTCGTCGTATAATCTGATCACGCGAGGATTCCGGCATTCCGCCCTTATTCCTAGTGTAAATAAACCACTATTCTCTGGGTTAACCAATGGAGCCTAACGAGTAAGGCGCTGGCTAGCTAACCCGGAGGTTCGTAGTTCGATCTCCGTGTTGGCCGAGTACGAGTAAGTTCTACGGGATTTTAAGTCGTGGCTTGCCCTTGTTAGTGATATACAGGACAGAGGGCCTGGCAATGGACAGCATGTAGTCATTCGGATACGACGAAATACTCAGATCCCATGTACACGTTGGCGTGCAATAAAAGAACCTTTAATTGTTGAAATTTGAAATAAGGGTAGGCCGTTTTTTCTCGTTCTGATGATTAGCACTGCATTTATAAGACTGGACAATGGATTATGAATTAGATTATACAACAATTTGAAATGCGATGGAAAACATCCAATCTGATTAAAACAAAGATCCTATTTCGTTTCGTTTTTTATAGTTCAAAAAAACGAAACGAAATATAGATCTGTATTATAATCAGATTGGAAAACATCACTGGATTTGAGAAAAAGGAACTTATGATTTTGGTTATATTCCTCGGTTTTATTATATCAATTTGACCATTCAAGCACCCTTGCCTTTCGTGTTGGCTTGCGAAACAGTTAACGATTCTGGTCATGACATTATCAAAGCATTTCCAATGGCCATAGTATTAAAGATCATTACTTTGTCATTATAAACTTAACACTGAAAAAAGTGGCCATTGATCTACACTGTTGTGCCCAGAAATACATATTCACCAAATCCCTAAAGAATTTACAGAATCATTAAGTTCGCCATCACGCAACCGTTCCCAACCTTTTGACCCATGTTTCTCAGTTTGATGCAGTCTGACGTATTGTAAATTGTTGTTTACAGTTAGTTGAATATGTCAACCCATTCTATTGTCAGTAATGTCGATTCCGTCGCCTTGATTTACTGTTAATTAACTGTTCATAGTCTAATCTATTCGATAATACAGATCCTTGATAACCCGAAATCACCATCCATTAGTGCCCTCATCGCGCAGGAGTCAAATCACTGCCTTTGTTTATTGAAACCATCTCCTTACCATAACCATCAGGTAGAATCAGGCTCCAGATGCATTGGACTGATGCCTTTAGTAGTTTAACGCGGCGATGTTCTCGTGGGTGTAGGGTCGAAATATACAACCTTTGAAATGTTGTTTTACGGACAATGACACCCCTCCCCCAACCAATAAGCTTCAGATTAATAGCATTTTAATGCTCTTAAAAGAGCATTATCTTGAACATGCCATATTATTGAATATTTCAAAGTGATTCGTCCTAATAAAATCTTCTAATATGAATCGACAGAAAATATTGTTATAAAATCTAATATGTGTAGATAAATCATTGTTTACCCCGAGAGTGTCTTATACATTGGCGGATCCAGGAGGGGGTTTGCCAGGTTATTGTTAAGGAAATTTGACAGTTTACAATGCATGATGCCATCATCGTCTCCAAATTACGTACGCATACATACACACTAAGCTTTTTGAGGAGAGAAATCCAACACAAAGAGTTAAATTCAACATCCCGTTTGACGTCAATTTTTATAATGAAATAGGATCACATTGTGAATTAATTCCTGTGATGCAAAGCATTAATTGTGATATCACATCATTATCTGCACCTGGTATACGTGTTTACAATAAATATTCATGTCCATTTATATCACACTATCACGTACACAAGACTAATGCATGTCTAGAATCAGGGCGCATGCCATGGAATTTGTACATGGCTTTATACACAGCCGCTATGCCTATAGATCCCAAGCAGTTACGTCTACCATGCAATATTTCATGTTTGAGGACGCAGCTACACGAAAAGTCTAACCCCTAAATGTATCAATGAAAGATCTTATAGGCTTTTATTGACTGTCTCTGGGGGAGATTGCTAATTGTAGGCGACAACCCGATAACTCGACATCACGACATTTTAACCTGACATGTGACATTACAACCCGACAGGGCCGTGACTAGCCCAGAGCAACGAGGGGGCGGGAAGTGTTCTCAGGGGTCCTATAAAATTAACGGACAATATATAGCTATTTTTTTTTTAAGATCGACTATTTTTTCACCGGTGGGTGGAGGGGGGAGAAATTTTTTACGGGGGAGGCTTAGCCCCCCCCCCTCCCCTAGTTACGGGCCTGCAACCCAACATTTTAACCCAACAAAACGACATTTTCACCCACACCACGACATTAAGGGTGACATCACGACATGATACCAATCAGCCACCATAAATCATTACTTGCGCAAAGCATTAATGGATGTACCGTTTGTACTTGAGATTACATCGACGCTACACTATTAAGCTACACTTTAGCTGATTGGAACCTACTTTTTAGAAGTTAACCGCAGGTCAATTCCCCCAGACCCTGTGAGTGGATGGGGGGTTGGATGGCCGAATGGTTACCGCGTGCGTGTTGTATCACAAGGTCTGTCATTGGGTCAACAGGCGTGGTTTCGATTCCCCGGTTGTACGTGACAGGGAGTAGGGTCGGCTGCCCAATCTCGTGGGTTGTCTCTGGATTCATCCCACTGCTAAAAGATCACTACGCGCAAGCGAATTACTGAAATAAAATTGAACCATATGTCAAATCGTAAATTTATGTCAGAGATGGTTAAACTCTCCATTGCTTGCATGATATAGCAAAATCGAGAGGACCCTGGTCAAAACGTCGTCATAA